TATTATCTAAAGAGAATGCAGAATAGTAAAAAGAAGTAGAAATGATACGGAACTTCACTAAACAAAACAACAGGAATTAGACAATGGTTGCTGTATTGAATAATGTTATTTTCAAATTAGCATTCAGATTATAAGATACTAGCATGCAAAATTGTTTTTAAAAAGCTATAAGGAATTAAAAAGACAAGAAAAACATTAAGCATCAAGTGCTCCCTTCTGTAAACCAGCAGAAATCAGCAGTACAATTATTCAAGCCTCCTGCATATATACGTAAATATATCTCTCTCCCACCCTGCCTCTCCTGTCCTTTTCATCCCAGTTTTTCCTTCCCTTTGAACAGGTTATTTTTCCCTTTCACAGTGTGTACTATAATTTTCATTTTTTATTTGCTCTTTCAGGTTCTTACACTAGTGAGACAATATTTGCACACGCAGGTCTTACTTATTTCACTTATGAGTACGGACTCTAGTTGCATCCGTTTACCTATGGAAGCTTCGAATTTATTTTTTTATATAGCTGCATCATACTCCACTGTGTAAAAAAGTCACAGCTCTATCCATTCCTCTTGATGGGCACGTGCTTTGTTTTGAAGATTTAGCTATGTCAAATGGTGCCACTATAAACATGGGTGCACATATATCGCTGTGGTATCAGTCCACTTGGACAAATACCTAGGATGGGAATAGCTGGCTTGAATGGAACCTTCAATCCTAGATTTTTGAGAAATCTCCACACTGATTTCCAGAGTGGTTGTACCAGTCTGAACTCCCACAACAGTGGAGAAGAGTTCTTTTTTTCCCCCACAGGCCCTCTAGCATTTGTTATTGGTTAACTTCTTGATGTTAGCCCTTCTTTCTGGGATGAGATGGAATCTCAGTGTTGTTTTAATTTGCATTTCTCTAATGGACAATGATGTTCAGCATTTTCCCCATATTTTTATTTGCCATTTGTATTTCTTCATTTGTGAGGTGTATATTCATTTCAGATGTCTTTGAATTTTGGTGGACTTATTTTTAAAAATTATTTACATGTTCTAGATAGAAGTCCTTTATCTGAGGGACAGTCAGCTATAATTTCTTCTCAATTCATAGGTTTTCTTTGTGTTCTGGTGGTGATTTCTTTTGATGTGTACAAAAATCATCAAAAAGATGAGCTACCAGTTGTTGATTCTTTGAAATATTTCCCATGCAGTTTGGTTTCTGTATATGAAATCTCTATCCACCCTTATGTCTTTTAGATTTCTACCTATTTTCTCCTCCAGAATATTTAATGTTTGTGTTTTCATATTTAAATCTTTGATCCAATTTGACTGTAGTTTAGTGCATGGTGATTGACATGGGTCTAAATTTAGCCTTCAGCTGTGGAAAGCCAGTTTTTTCAGCACCACTTATTCAGGAAACCATTTTATTGTGGAGGAATTTTCTCTCAATCATCATGTTTTTCAAAATAATGAACTGGTATTAATAAAAAAAGTTAAAATTCTATCAGGACCACGACAATGCTTAGGTGAACAAAGGGACATGAATGTCCCAATTGTGTTGTGGAGCAGAGCCTCATGGAACCAAGTGACCTAATAGCATGAAACAGCAAAATCATGCTTTAGTTTGAGGAGTGGACAAATTTTGCTTCAGTAATTAAAATTTCCTCCTTTGAATGTTAGCTGACAAAACTCTTGCATAATAAAACACTATTTTTTAAATAAAAAAATTATACTTGCTTATCTGGTACAGGATCTTGCTACACAGGTCAGACTCTTAGTGGTCCTTCTGTCTCAGTCTCCCCAGTGCTGGGATTTCAGTATATACTACCACACCCAGGTTTCGTAGCCTTCCCCGTGTACCCAGGGTTCTTGGGGTGGCACAGCATGCAGTACTCAGCATTGAAACCGGGTCCTTGTACTTGCCAGTCACCTGCGTAGACTGCTGAGCTATCTCCTCAGCCCCAAAACACTATTTTAAAGACATACAATGAAGAAACATGTATGCCAGCCTAAAGAAAGAGGTGAATTCTCATATCCAAGGTCACATACTTGGTCATGTGAATGAGCGTTCACATTCAGCAGTCAGAGAATGATTGAGAGCCCCCGCAACTGTGCTCAAAATCTATCCCAGTATTCTGACAGGCGAATCAGAATGATTAGAAGTTGGAGCCCAACCTGGGCAATTTAGTGACTCAGTAAGACTGGGTTAGAATGAAAATTAAAAAAAAATTCTACGCTGTAGCTGTGTAGAAAGGCCCTGGGTTCAGACCTCACTGTAGCATAAAAGAAAAGTTTCAAGTAACCAATAATTTTCTCCTATGTTTATATCTGTCTGCAGAACATTGTTTATAATTTTCTTTCTGACAATCATTCTTCCTGTGTAAAAATGTTCATAAAAACTTGATGCTCAGGAAATGTATGAGCAAGTCGTGGGTGGTGTCTGGGTACCATTCTCTCTGGAGCGTGAGCACAGTTGTGGGGTGGGGGGCTCTCATACTCTGACTGCTGGGTGTGAATGCTCATTCGCATGACCAAGTCTGTGACCTTGGATGTGAGAACTCACCTCTTTATACTCAGTTTGCTCAGCAAAAGGAATAATATTGTGTACTTAACAAGTTGTTGTAAAGTTTAAATGGATTTTTGTAAGCAGAGCAATCCTATGTACAAAATGAACATTCCATAAATGTACAGACAGTCTTTGCAAGGTTTAAATTCCTTTTCTATTATATCCTTCGGTTGCCAGAAACTGTGTGTCGGCTGCTGGAATCACTCAGTGAGTGCTCACTGCGACGGAAGTGCCCATCTGGACACTGACTGTGCAGAGGCATTCCAGAGAACAACGAGGGCAGTGCTGTTGGCTCAGTCATTACGGAAGCTTTTAAGACATACAAAAGTAGCACAGTGAGCTGATCTCACAAGGGCTATGGTACAATTAATTCATCTGTCTAACATATTTGAAAAATTGTAAAACATGAAGATTATTGTAGGTTTGTTGAACTAAGAGCACTTTTTCAAAGTACTTTTCAATACAGAAAGAAACTTACAGTAATATTCACCAGATATATTCAGCATCTTTGCGTTACAGTGAAGACATATGATAGTCTATAGCCAAAAATTAGGATTAGAAAAGGTTATTTTTAAAGAATAGTGGAATATGTATATTAATTTAATTTCAGAACAGTTACTCAGATCAAAACCATGAGTGTCAAAATTAATTAACAGCATTCAACATTGGAACTGAAGAGTTTTGAATAAAGGATACGAAGGCTTTCAGGGTGAACTTAATTATATCATATAAACACATAAAGTTTCTCCTAATCACAGTAAAATTAAAAATAGTCTAGGCTACAAAGACAACTTTATCAATATAAGGCATTTGTTTAATATTAGAAATAATTGTGCTTGTAATAAATATCCTTTTTTATCTATAGATCTTGGAGAAAATAGCAAGACCACTTTTGTATATATTTGTTCCTTCCCCAAAGATACAATGCTGATTTTTTAAATTTGACATCTGTCTCAAGTGTGTTTTTTATTCCATGAAAAACCTAAAATACACATGAAGATCAAAATACAAGATAGATACTAGAAAACATGGAGAAAGATCTTTCACAAAGAAAAGAGGGACGAAGAGATGGGGGACAGTAGAGAGGAGCAAACAGGGACTAAAAAAAGAAGAAAGGTATGTCCTGTGCAGGAACCAGCTCCCTGTGAGGAAAGCAGCCTTCATCTAATACAAACACACACCCATACAAATAAAAACCTAATAAAAATGGGAAAAATACAAGAATAAAAATGTAAATAAAATTTGGTGGCTAAGGGAGACAGCTAGAATTCAGCAGTCTATTCATGTTGTGCACAGAACACACTGTGCTCTAATCTGAACACCAAGGGCAATCCATGGCTAATGAGCTGGCAGTATGTAATACTACATAACCAGTTCAGTTGTTTTCAAACTGTTTGAATAAACATATTTTCTAACCTTTGTAATATTCATGCCAGAGCTCTTTCTTCCTGTGAATATATTGAGTTTATACTTTCATATGTATCTTTCAAAAATTCTATGAATGTTTTGAACAATTCCACAATCAAGCAAGTAATAAATTAAAAATAAGGTTAAATCATAAAAGAAAAACTTTAAATCCTTGATTTAACATATATTAATTTTAAAATATCTTAAATACATGTAAGTTCATAACAACAGTTACTAGCAGAAAACTTACTAATGATGAATATTTTTATTTACAACATTAATTTTTTCACTGTAAATAATGAAGTGGAGGGACAGCCCATTAGCTCAGTTGATTAAGTGCCTGATAAACAAAGCACTCAGTCTCAGGGTGCTGTGGTTCAATCCCCAGATCCTCATGCCTTACCAGACCTGTCCTTAAGGCATCCTGAGTCAGCAAAAAAAAATCTTTCTGAATAATGGAAGTAATATTAATTAATACACACACCTTCTGACTTACTTTTCCTGATGCTGACATCATACTTTTCAATCTATAAATCTCACACTACTCAAAGCAGGCTTTCCAAAAGGCTCCTCTGAACAAGAAACAACTACCTCTCTGAGATGCTCTTGTGAATTTATATTTTATTAAATCAGTTCAACAATAAAGAGAGTATATCCAGAAATTCAACTTATAAAAACTCATATAAGAATCAGAAATTAAAATATTCTTTTGTAATTCTTCTATATCTTTTATGTTAAATATTCTCAGTGATACTATAGAAAAGGGTCATTCACTTGACACAAAAGAAGATCAGAGAAACCTTAGTAGCACAGCATCAAGGTAATCAATGGCACCTTTGACTACATGGTTAGAATCTATCAAATTTGGTTTTTAATGCTATATTTACCACAACTCTACAATTTCATTGGACCTGGATTTGCCCTTAGTCAAAGCTGAAGGGTAAACAATTATTTTACATTAAGAAATCTTCTACATGGATGATCATTTATTTTCCTGTACTGTGTCCAGTGTGAATGTTTTCTTAATTTCCCATACAAAAGAAGAACCTACTCAAGAAATAAGTTCACTGAGGAGGAATTCTGTCTGAACACTTTGCCTGTAATAATTAGTTGGATGGCTTTTCGAAACCAGGGATAAAAGAAAGCATAAATCAAGGGATTCATTGCTGAGTTGTAGTAAACGATCCACACTAATATTTCATACACATACGTAGGTGTGATGAATCCCAGGAAGGCATCGATGACAGAATCAATGAAGTAAGGCAACCATGAGATCAGAAAAGCTATCACTGCGACCCCCAGGGTCGTTGCTGCTTTCCTCTCCCTCCTGGCCACCCTGTCCTTGTAGCTGTCTGAGGATTTTGCAGTCTTATTGCTCTGACTTTCAATTTTCCTAGCCTGTTGCTTGGCTATCAGGAAGATCTTGGAGTAAACTGTTATCATCACAAGTGCAGGGATGAAAAATAATAGAAAGTCGATCAAGACCCAGCTTTGATTAACTCCAACCTGACAGCCTCCCACACAGGTGAGGGCACTTATTTGTTCCTCCAGACCAGCTTCAGTTATCCCAGTATAAAAAAGCGAAAAGCTATAGACAACAGCAAGCACCCAGGAAAAAGCGATACATTTGCCGGACACAAACATGGTGAACCTGGTGGGATAGACCAGCGGGTCTGTGACAGCGACGTATCTGTCAATGGAGATAAAGCACAAGTGGAAGATAGAGCAGTAACAGAAGATGCCATCAAAACAGGAGTGTAATTTACAGAAACTGTTCCCGAAGTACCAGCAGCTCTCCACAGACCTGACCATGCTGAAGGGCATCACCGTCGTCCCCACCAGGAAGTCAGCGCAGGCCAGAGAGGCTATCAGCAAGTTGGCTGGGG